GGCGTCCCACAGTGGTGGGTCAATGGAAGTCATTTGTCAGGCTGCTTCATGGGCTTCACCCTGTTCCTTTACTCGTTCTTATTTACGAGATGCGTCTTCAGGATCCATCACTCGTTCAGTGCTTGGACCTCAGCAGGCTGAGTGAACGCATTATGGCACCTCATCGGCCCTGCTTGAATGAATTTCATCCTCTTGTGGATGATATTTTTTAGTGGTGGCCCCACTCTTCTCTCTGGCTGCCTCAGCCTTTTAAGCCCTGGGCTGAGGCTGAGCGACCCCCACTAAAAGGAGACATGTTGGGTGTGTCCATTGGTTGAGCTAACCAGTGTGGCGTAAACCCATCCAGCTGCGCTTTATTCCAATAGCAGCTCGCTTAAGGGCTAAGACTAGACGAAATAGAACGTTGGTTACGTATTGTAACCCCAGATTCTATGAGTCTAGTCGCAGCCCTTAAGCCACTTGGCCACACTGGTTCTGTTAGGACTAAGAGCCATCGAAGGCGAACAGTGGAGTCGCTCCACTTATATAACCCACAAGGGGTGCCCACGTGGTGGGCGTACATTTAAGCTCTTCATGATTGGCTGATGCTGAGATCACCCTTCCAATAGCAGCTCGCTTAAGGGCTGCGACTAGACTCATAGAATCTGGGGTTACAATACGTAACCAACGTTTGTACACCAGTTGTTGTGTGTGTAGATACACAAACCTCCTCCTCTGCGTTTTCCAGCTGAAGCTTTCCTGTCGCTAAGGTGTAGAGTGCGGCCCGGTAGTTGCACTGACGCATCAGGAATGTCCTCTCGTAACCAGGACTCCGTCACGACCAGAACGCAGCAGTCCCGAGTGAGTGAATGAGCTGTGAGTAATAAATCAAATTCGTCGATTTTGTTGACAATAGATCGTGAGTTGGTCAGGAAAATGCTTGGGAGTGGTGGTTTAAATGGCTGGCTCTTTAGTCTGGCTTGCAGACCAGACCGGCAGCCCCGCATTTGTTTGCGTTCCTTCCGCCTCCTACGACGCGTAACTGAGCCAACAACGATCCACGGAGCGTCCAATGGCCTCGCTATATTCGGAGGGATGTTGTGGAAGCTTTGATACTCCTTTGTCATGGGCATCCCGCAGTTGTATCCAATGCTGTATAGTTCCCCTCGGTCATACGTGAGTTTCGCTCCGCAATAGTCCATAATAAAACATAAAAGACGACACAAAACATGGTAAAAAGCCTAAGTGAAGAGCTCAGAGCCGCTGCGTCTGTGCGCGCCGCCATCTCGAGTCGTTTGATGCGGTTGGAACACACACTCAGGTGACCCTTCTTAAAGATGGGGACCACCACCCCGATCTGCCACTCCACAGGAACTGCCCCGGATGACCACGCAATGTTGCAGGGACGTGTCAACCACGACAGCCCTACAACATCCATAGCCTTGAGATACCCAGGACGAATATCATCTGCCCCCGGTGCTCCGCCGCTGTGTAGTTGTTTGACTACCTCAGCAACTTCTGCCCCAGAGATTGGACAGTCCATCCCCAGGTCTCCCGGCTCTGGTTCCTCCTCAGAATGCGTGTAGGTGGGATTGAGTAGCTCCTCAAAGTATTCCTTCCACTGTCCGACTATAGCCCCAGTTTATGTCAGCAGCTCCCCATCCCCACTGTAAATAGTGTGAGCGAGTTGCTGCCTCCCTCTCCTGAGGCGCCGGACAGTTTGCCTGAACCTCTTTGGAGCCGATCGATAGTCTTTCTCCATGGCCTCACCAAACTCCTCCCACGCCCGAGATTTTGCCTCGGCAACTGCCACTGCTGCACCCCGCTTGACTATCCGGTACCTGTCTGCTGCCTCCGGAGACCCACAGACCAGCCACGCCCTGTTGGCTTCCTTCTTCAGCCTGATGGCTCCCTGAACCTCTGGTGTCTACCAGCGGGTACGGGGGTTGCCACCACGACTGGCACCGGCCACCTTGCAAACACAGCTAGCAACAGCCGTCTCAACAAGGTTCACTCGGAGTCAATGTCCCCTACTGCCCTCGGGAGGCGGTCAAAGCTCTGCCGGAGGTGGGAGTTGAAGACTGTCTTGACAGGTTCTTTTCACAGGCGTTCCCAGCAGACCCTCACTATGCGTTTGGGTCTGCCAGGTCTACGTGTCATCTTCCCCTGCCATCTGATCCAACTCACCACCAGGTGGTGATCAGTTGACAGCTCCGCTCCTCTCTTCACTCGGATGTCCAAAACATACGGCCGCAGGTCAGATGATACGACTACAAAGTCTATCATCGACCTGCGACCTAGGCTGCCCTGGTACCAAGTGTACCGATGGGCATCCTTATGTTCGAACATGGTGTTCGTTATGGCCAAACTGCGGCTTGCACAGAAGTCCAATAACAAAACACTGCTCGAGTTCAGATTAGGTGGGCCGTTCCTCCCAATCACACCCCTCCAGGTCAAGCTGTCATTGCCCACGTGAGCATTGAAGTCCCCCAGCAGGACAATGGAGTCCCCTGATGGAGCACTATCTAGCACTCGTCCCAGGGACTCCAAAAAGGGTGGGTACTCTGAACTGATATTTGGCCCATAAGCACAAACAACAGTCAGGACCCGTTCCCCGACCCGAAGGCGCAAGGAAGCTACCCTCTTGTCCCCCGGGGTAAACCCCAACACACAGGCAGAGAGTCTCGGGGCTAACAAAAAGCCAACCCCAGCCCTCCGCCTCTCACCCGGAGCAACTCCAGCAAAGTAGAGTGTCCAACCCCTCTCCAGGTCTCGGGTTCCAGAGCCAATGCAATGTGTCGAGGTGAGTCCGACTATATCTAGCCGGTACCGCTCAACCTCTGCCACAAGCTCCGGCTCCCTCCCCGCCAGCGAGGTGACGTTCCATGTCCCAAAAACTAGTTTTCTTGTCCGGGGATTGGACCGCCAAGGCTCCCGCCTTGGTCTGCCACCCGATTCGCATTGCACCGGACCCTTCATGTTCCTCCTGCGGGTGGTGGGTCCACAGTTGGACGAGCCCATGTATCCGGTTCGGGCTGGGCCCGGCCGGGCCCCATGGGCGAAAGCCCGGCCACCAGGCGCTCGCTCACGGGCCCCAACCCCAGGCCTGGCTCCAGGGTGGGACCCCGGTAACCCTCCGGGCCGGGTACTCCGACTCTTCGTTTTAACCGCCATGAAAGATCCTTCGAACCGTTCTTTGTCTCACCCTTCACCTAAGACCAATTTGTCATGGGAGACCCTACCAGGGGCACTAAGTGCCCCAGACAACATAGCTCCTAAGATCATTAGGGCACTCAAACTCCTCCACCACGATAAGGTGACGGTTCAAGGAGGAGAAAAAGTGGACATGTCCGGGGAAAACAGGACATATGGTCACCCTAGTTTAATATAAAGCGGGAGATTACAGATACAGTATTTTGCTCGTGCCCTTGCTGCCCTGAGCCCTTTAGAGTTCGTGGGCCCTGGGCAATCGCCCAGTTGCCCATATGGTTAATCTGGCCTTGGTCAAAGGTCAGAAATATTTAGCAAAAAACATCAAAAAGTGTCCCAGTTTTGGGCAGATTGAACTTTCCTTTAAAATTTTACGTGGGTAGCATTTTTACATTTGCATAAAAACTGTCTTGTGCCACATGGCACGTCCGTTTTTAAAACGTCTTCAGCAATTTGGGAATTTTCGTGTTGTCAGTTTTTCAACATTAATTGCTGCTGCTTCAGCAAGCAGGGCCCTTTTTGTTATGAACCTGGGAGGATCTCAACATTAATAACCGTGATTACTACTATTTTGCGAACATAATGCTTCTCCTGATTTTTTTTACCTTAATGTCACCCAAATGTCTTTATTTTGGGGTTTTCACCCCAACATCACCCAAATGTCATTATTTTAGTTTATTATTTTTTTATTTAACCTTTATTTATCCAGATGAGTCAATTGAGAACTCATTCTCATTTACATCAACGATCTGGCCAAGAGGCAGCAGCAACCAGCAGCAACCGACAAATGGTTAGCTTTACATCAAAGAAAAACAGATAAGATAAAACGCTACAAGATCAATTAAATAAAACAGTTAGACATAACAACAAAGGACTGTTCTCATATAAAATCTGTACAAGCTGTTCACCTCAGCGTGGCCCAAATATCACGATTTTGGGGGATCACCCCAAAAATCACCAGAATATCATGCTTTTGGGTTTTTTACTTAACATATACCAAATATTATTTGGCCTTTATACCACATGGCAACTATCTTGTGCCAAGTGGCAGGGTCCTATTACAATTTCTTCAGGAATTTTCTAGCTATTATTAGTTATTATTGTTGGGTAAAAACAGTATTGGATATAAACGGTATGGAAATGATTTTGTCTGGGTAACATCTGGTGTTTTTAAATTAAACGAAGGTTCATTTATTCTCATTATATTTTGCTATTACTCTGTAGCTCCGGCGGGGAGGTGTTCGACCTTGCTTCCTGGTCCTGTTATCAGTAAACAGAGAAGTCCAGACGACCTGGGAATGTTTGTCTCCCTGGGTGAGAGTCTGGGAACAGAGTGTATGTGTTTATCTTTCATTGTGTGTTTGCTGAGTAATTTCAATAAAACCTTTCTGCAGGCATTTGCCTGACGAGAGACCGAACAGAGCCTACTGGTGTGTACCTTCTTTCTCTCCGATTTTGCAAAGTCTGATGGTTGATTATTTGGTGATTGGTACTGATAATCTATGACATGATAACTCTAACCCCCTTGTGTGTGTTGGATTTTCTTTGAGGTAATCCTGGACTGAATAATAAAATTACCCAACAATTATTGTTATAATTATTATTATTATTATTTATTACTACTACTACTACTACTACTACTACTATTCTTATGGCGTAGAGGGTTCTTTTATTTTGAAGAAGGTCATTCTTTCAGTCGGTCATATAAATCTTCCAAAAGGTGACAGCAGGTGGAACTAAAATATAAAAGCACTCAACTTTCTGCGACTTTTCTGCTTTTTTTCTGACAGTTAGTGAACGCAACACTAAGCCCCTCCCACTTCCGGTGGAAAACCGCTATCTGTCATTAGGAAAAAGCTCCTGAGCAGGAATCCGCTACACGGTCCTCTTTAACAACACTGTTATATCTGGAGCGTTGCGTCTCCCTGGACGAACAGAGACAACATGACCTGGCGGACCTAGCTGTCCCGGGGCTGCTGTTCCCTCCTCAGCCGGCTGAAGGACGGAGCAGGACGGAATGACTCCGATGGATAAGCCGAACAGGCTGCTGTTGCTGTCCGAGCTCCGCGTCAGGGACACGGCGTACAATGTGAGCCTGAGCCGGTCCCTGCTCACATGGAAAAGACGGGCCTCCAGCCCGGTGTACCACCCGTTCAGACCCAGTAAGACCCGGGTGACGCGTTTCTGTGCCCGTTTCTGTGTTTCTATCCTTTTGTCTGGTTGCGTGCGAAGGCCAAACGCGACACGATCCAGACAAGTAGACCCGGGGAGACGTGAGCTATCCGTTTGCATAACAACAGTCTGTCACCCGAGAAAAACAACATACCACAGTAGCTCACGGTGTTCGAGACCAGCTGAGAGGAAAACGTCTGGACGAACATCCGGGGCTTAATACACACGCGCGCGCGCACACGCACACGCGTGACACGCACTAGTCAACATCATATATGTCTTGTACCACATAATTTTTAATCTGAAGCTACATATTAAGCATATTTAGGGAAGAGCATTGTTCCTGTATGTGTTTAGTGTGAGATGATAGTAAATATTCCCTTTCTTTCTCCAACAACTTTACCTGATAGCTAAGCTAACTTTAGGCAAACCAGCAGCACAACAAATATTTTCAAATAAGACTCACAAACCTGAGTCAACACCAGTCTCATCAAAGCTGGGGTTCTGTCGCGGTACTTTTGGTCTAAAAAACGTCCTTATGTCCATCTTCACTCATGCGTTTCAGGCGACTGCAGAATAAGCCGGTGTCGGTACAAGATCTGCTCGGGTGCAAAATCGGCTCGGGGTCCTTCGACTGCCGATGACGTCAAAGTACGGCAAACCCACTCGGACAAAATACACTACACATCTATACTGTTGGAAAGAATTTAGCAGTTTCGTTATTAAAATAATGTTTTTAAGACGTAAGTTTGTGTTTATAATGGTATTTGTAAAATAAAACACTATATTTTATTCATAATGTTGAACTCCTCTTTGAGCACATCCCTTGAAAAATCATAGGTATTGGCAACACCTGTGAAATTGAATTTGCAGGAAAGAAGTGTGTCCCGTTTATTGAAATATTTTGTGTTTAGAGTTTTTGATGTCTTTTCCATGCATAGTTCAGTTACGCTCATAGCTGCTAGCCAAAACTCTGGAGTTAAAAGTTTTCTGGCTTTACTAAAATACCTGTCTGTACTTATTTGATTGATGGTAGTTTTACTTTCTTTTAGACTCCAAATGTAATCATTTGGCACGTTTCTAATTCATAATTTGTAATAATGTAATCTGTGATATTAGCATTAGCATTCCTATGGGTTTTTCCATGTATATTAGCATTGCGCTAACCACTCGCTGCCAAATTGCAGCCTTTGCGATTAGAAAATCTCATTTGTCACATCGCAATTTAATTGCACATGCAGTTAATCGTTCAGCCCTAATATACATGCAGCTCTATGCTAAAAGTGTATTTTCAAAGAGGTAATGATGGATTTCTTTGTAAAAGTTGTCCATCTTTCCAACAGAAAGATTTGCTTGGACCAACGTAACGTGATTACGTAATTCCGTAAGGTTCATGTTCAACCAATCAACTACTTAGACGTCATCGGTAGTCGACGGACCCCGAGTCGATTTTGCACCCAAGCAGATCTTGTACCGACACCAGCTGCTGAAGGGCTTCTTCTTCAGTGGTGGAGGCTCAGGCAGGCTGTATACAAACTACTGCCAGCTGCTCCCTCTCTGTTGGACTTTGGTACTGCATGTTACTTCCGCGATTTAGATCCGGGGCTTCAGCCCAAGTAGCCGGGCCTAACGCCGCCCCTGAGCTTTGTTTTGTAGATCAGACTCACTCAGCATGAAGCCTAGGCAGATACAGGTTCAGAGGAGAACACACACACACACACACACACACACACACACACACACACACACACACACACACACACACAAAACAGTATGTTATAACTGTAAATAAAAAAAACATTTGATTTTTCTTCAGAAATTTCTGAATAGAAAATGTACATGAACAAAAAATCTGAAATAGCAGAAATCAAGCATAACATGTATTACAACCTTGTATTGATTTATTTATATGTACAACTTTCAGTGTCTGAGTTTCCGTAGATATTGTCTGTCAGTGTTCAGGAGCTTATAGCTGCTGTGGTATTCTGCAGAGCAGTTCTTGTCCTGCTGCAGACTAAACTATTTCTTGCACTCTTTGCACATCCAGGGAGTGTTTTTTATTTTATTTTGTTGTTTATTTTTTGCACAGAGTGTACCTGTTTCACCCCTGACCTGCCCTCTGTGCTTTGTTCACTCCTTCTCCATTGGTCCAGGGACAGGGATGTGATCTTGAGCGGAGGTCGCTGGAGGGTTTTCATCCTGTGCACACTGCTGCTCCTGAGATAGTTGATGTTTCATGGCCTCCTTCTGCTACTTGTTGCTGATGTGTTTGTGGAGCTGGTGGTGAGAGGTAGCTGATAGCCAGGGGTTCTTCTGGGGATAAATCTGGGTGTCGCGGGTCGACGGTACCTGTGTCTGACTTTGTTGTCCAGGAGTCCAGAAGACGTGGAGCATCTCCAGCAGCACCCTGTCTCTGACATTGTCTATTGCTGGTGATGGTGGATGGCTCTTCATCAACAGAATCTCTAAAATTATAAATATATTAGATTTTATAAAACATACTCAAGTGGTAAAAACTAGAAAATGAAAACTGTAAAAAAATAAAAAACAGAACTAAAGCTAGAAATATATTTGAACTGTAGATAAACTTACTGCAGCTGTGATGGAAAATCACCTCCATCCACACCTGAATCCTCAACCACAGATGTACACGGACCTTTTGTTTTCCTGGAAGTAGCAATAATAGTATATGATAGTATAGTAATAGTATTAGCAGAAATACTAGACAATAGAAACCGGAACGGGTTCAAACCGGAACGGGTTCAGTGCAGACTGAGATACTTACTGCATTTGGGATGGAAAAACAATGTGGGCACATCTTGCTCCTCATCAACCACTTTTGAGGGAAGTTTCCGCTTCTAGAAGGTTTCCTGGTTTCTGGTTTATTTACAAAAACAAATCTAACGTATAAAATAATAAAAAGCCTCAGTGGAAAAAAGACTGACCAAACGAGTACAAAAAGCGGCTAAGCAATGCCAAATATGACGAAATATTGTCTAAAATTACTAAATAAAAACAAAGTAGGAAAATTACTGAAAATAATTATTATTTACACCAGTAGAAGAGATAGAAGTTGAAAATATGCATCCAAAACAATCCCTCCGCTCCTTTATGAGCACGGCACACGTTATTTGGAATCTTAGGATTTCCAAGGAAGATCCGGTCTTTGTCATCTCTGATTGGCTAGAAAGACTCTACTACGATTGACCATTTGGTTTAGCAACAAACTGGTTGTCCTCGCTAAGTGCAGACTGTCCTTTTCCCACCAGAGGAAAGCTGGTTTAGGGAGTTTTGTAAAGAAAATTTCAACTTAGCGCTATAGTAACCTTTTTGTTCTGTTTTGCAAAACGTTTTGAATTTATAATCTTGTTGCACTGATCAAAATGTTGGACTTTATAATTGGCTCTCAAGCATTAGAGTACATAGGATGAACATATGTTCCTTACCTGGATATGAAACTTAATAAAACTGCCCCATTCATGTAACATGATGGAAGTTGTTACTTTTACTGAATGATCAATAAGAGGTGATGTTCCATATAAATATGAATTTTCAACCTTATTGGTCTTTGAATATTTGATCGAATGTGAACTTGGGTTCTTTGGACTGCCAGGAAAACACACACTTCATAATAATTCAGAGTCAAGAATGTAGTTGATAAAAATGAATTTAATACTATATTTCTAAACTAAGTCCTAGAGGGCTGGTATCCTGCACATTTTTGTTGTTTCCCTGTTACAAACAGTTGATTCACCTGTGCAGCAGCTCTTCAGGCTCCCCAGAAGTCTATTACTCACCTGCTGACTGAAATCAGGTGTGTTGAATCAGGAAAACACTAAAACATGTGGGATAACGGCCCCCGAGGACCGGAGTGTGGCACCTGTGTGTTGTGCAACCATTACCACAGCTTGCCCTATTTGTCCAAATAATTCCATGATTACCATCCAAACACGAACACACACAGGACACAGCTAAGTTCAGATAGTGGAAGCTAACTATTAAAGTGAGGCCTTCTCTGGAGCTAGCTGGTAGCGCTAGCTCTGATGCTCATGCTACCTGTCAATGAAATCTAAATATCATAATTTCAAGCGTTTAATAATTACACCTAAGCATAAGAGTTACATAAAATACACCCTACTCAGTTGTCATGAATGTAAACTAGATCTATTAAACCTAAAATGATTTTTGAACCAGGCTGTAAACATGTTTATTTTTGCTGTGAAATTAGCATTTTAACGTGAGGATCGTCGCAGTTTGGAAGCCAGCCCCTGGTGGATGAGAGTGGACCTGCAGTTTTCGTGTGTGTGTGTGTGTGTGTGTGTGTGTGTGTGTGTGTGTGTGTGTGTGTGTGTGTGCGTGCGTGCGTGAGTGCACGTGCGTCCTCACACGACTCAGATCTCTTTATGAGATGCTTTTGGGTTAGCTTGTTGACGTGATCGTCTGCCTGTGAATTGATTCTGATTCTGGATTTTGAACAGCTGCTTCACGCCTCTGCTCTCCTGGTGGTACCCAGAATAGCTGCAGGCCAGTGTAGCAGGAACATGTGTGAGGATGTTGGGAGATGCACTAGAGACGAAAACATGTCAAATTGTTGTGTCATGTTTAGTGTTAAGAAATCTATCCCTTTAATGATATTTACTGGATTTTAATGTGTGCAATAATTCTCTTACAAACTAAAATCATGCAGAGACTGTGGCATTTGTTTTACCTGTCAATGTTTATTATTGCTATTATTATTTATTTGTGTTTGGTTAGTAGTGGAAGGATCCACAATTCTTCATTTTACTCTTTCTTCACTTTACCTTGCAAGTCCCTGGTCATTTGGTGACCTCGTGGGATCAGCTGTGTGGAATGCTTTCGCTGCTGTTTTGCATCTCATAATGAGCTCATTAATGTGTTCATAGAATAATCAGTAATGGAACGAATGTGGGAAAGTTTAACTGTTGTTCTCCTGCAGGGTCTTGTGCTCGCTTGTTTCCTCGTCCACCACACTCAGACAGGAGCTTATGTCCCACAATGCAGTGGGCCACATCCAGCTGATCCGGCTTAGCGACTGTGTTGTTCCTGTCTGAACATGTTCCTGTGATGGATGGATGAACTGTAGCTTCTGATTGTGCTTCAAGCTCCAATAGTGATTTTGTTCCCAGATGAGGCCATTTGGCTCTTCTTGTCACGATGTGGGCAGGAGGAAGTTTAGGACCCAAGATGCAGGAAATCAGATGAACGAGGCAGGAGGTGGAAGATGAAATAAAAATCCTTTATTAGGAGTAATCCAAGACGGCAGGGAGCCAAAAACCAAAAATCCAAATGAAAACACTAGAGATCCAAAAAACACCAGAGAACTAGAGACACTAGATGCTAGAGAGCGATGAGAAACTAGACTGACACGAACAATAGACCGACAAAACACTGTAACACAGACAGGGTTATATACACGGGAGGATGAGAGGGAGATGGGCTGTAGGTGTGTGGGGAGAGAGAGACCAGGTGAACTCAATCAGGGAGGAAACAAACATGACCTAATAATAAAAACTAAAGACAAGAAAAGCAGGAACATAACTTATAATCTAAGGGGGGGAACCTCAAACACCGATGGGAAAAACACACTAGAGAGACTAAATAATATGAACAGCTGTAGCTAAAGGAAAATGACCTGAGAGAAAAGCCTAAAGACCAGAAGGGCAGCAATCATAACTAATATTCTAAGGGGGGAGGTGAACCTAGAGGAAAAACACTACAGAAAGAAAAACTACAGGGGGGTGACTAAAAGGGGGCCACAGGAGCACAGGACCTGGGAGGGGGAAACCTAGAGGGCTGAAGATCTGGGGGCAAATGGGGAACACCAGGAGACACATGAGGAAGACGCAGACAAGGACACATGAGGGCGCTCGGAGACACAAAAGGAGAACCTAGAGAGGGATGGAGAACACAAGGAGACACATGAGGGGAGACACAGACGCAGACCATGACACTTCTCAAATGAAAACAAACCACCGTCTGCTGATATTAGAGGTGAGGTGATCCATTTTGGAACAAACCATGTCTTGTCAGAAAGGTAGAGTGTGTTCTGATCCTGGGTCCATCTCCATCAGGTCCAACAGAGACATGCTTTTCTACCCTGGACCTCCTGGTTCAATGTTCTAGTCTGTTCTTTACTTGCTTCTGATAGAACCGATTGTTGTTTGTAATAAATCGCTGCTTTTAGGTCCTTCATAGATCTTTCTGTTTATTATTGTATTGCTTTATTCTGTGATGTGATCTTCCATCACCTGGTTGATAGAAACAAGCCCACTGTACAACCTTAAACTGTAATGCTAGAAATCATTTTTAGTGAATATTTAAACAGACATTCACTGTGTTGGTTAAACCAAAATAAACCCAAGTTCATAATGGTTAAACCCAACGGGTTCGACTCCTGGTCTTGGCAGTAATTTGTTTTCTTCTTGTTTTAGCTACACTTGCCATTGTTGTGTTTTCAACCCTTTATTTGTAAACGGTTTAAAATATAAGGACTAATCTTTTTTTTGCTCTCTTTACCCAATGTGAGTCCATGTGAGGTGAGCAGAGTTTCAGCTAAAATGCTGCTTAGAAATGACCAAATTCAAAGACACGAAATATTTTGCAGAAAAATATCTGTAAAACGTTCTCTTTCCGAAGTATTTATTTTATCCGATGGCGCCATCTAGTGGCTGACAAGCATATCACACAAATTGTTTCTCCTGTTTTTTTAGGATGGCGACTTCATGTTTCTTGTTTACTAATGGGCGTCTGTAGCCCATAAACAGCTAAAACACGTGTTAAAAGTATTATCTTCATATATTTATATGTGTTCTCATATATTTATGTTTTAGAGACTTACTTGTCCGTGAATAGTTAATCAACTCTGCATCTGCAGAGGTATTCCTTACATTTGAAGCATTTAAGTGGTAATCTAACGCCATTGGTTAGTTCTGGTTGGTATATCTATATCTATGTGTATATATATAATAAAAATACATATTGCTTACATTATATCACAGTACATGTTAAGATAATCACTTAAACGGATTTCAGAAAAATCATACATGAGTTCTGAAAGGGGAAAACTCCGGAAAGATACTTTAAATACTTTAAAAATATCAAATCTGATTCAGCTGGCTAAATAAATAATTGCTGACGCCACTGGGATTCGAACCGACATCCGGACATGGCAAAACAAGATGAAAGGTAGACACTTTAACTGGACTACCAAGACCAATACAACAGCAGACTTGCCTACGATGCGGTTGTAGGCGTGTTTTTTCAGAGCGGCTGTTAAAGTTAAAGTCCCATTAGTTGTCACACACACTGATGTCTGTGCGAAATTTGTTCTCCGCATTTGAACCATCCCCTGGGGGAGCGGTGAACTGCAGACCCAGCTGCACTCGGGAACCATTTGGTGGTTTATACCCCCAATTCAACCCTTAATGCTGAGTGTCAAGCAGGGAGGCATTGGGTCCCATTTTCTCAAAGTCTTTGCCCTGACCTGACCAGGAATTGAACCCCAATGTCCCAGTCTCAGGGCGGACACTCTACCACTAGGCCACTGAACTGGGGTGGAGCTTAACTGAAGCAGACCATTTCATTTCCAGATGAGCATTCAGGCTGATGAAAATAACTCATATTTAGGATAAAATGACACCTCAGTAGTGCCAATGGTAACATTTATCATATATTGCTCTCAAAGGTGATAGAGCGTGATCTGGTCCTTTAGTAGTCTTGTTGTTTATGTTGGTTTCTAGGTTTAGTCTTCCATTGCTCATTTTTGTCTTTGTTTTGTCTGTTCTTGCTGCTGTAGAGCACATCGAGTTTCCTCTGTGTATGAAATGTGCTACATGAATAAACCGTCACGTCTATAAAAACGTACATTTGACCTCGTGGACATGACGTCGTACTGCTCATGAAACTTTCGCTATGACGGATGCTAACAAGAACTATTTATATCCATTAAAACTAGTGATGCTGAAATTTTTGGGCCGATACCAATATCCGATATTAATATCACTGTTATGGCCGATAACCGATATACTGACATGAATTCTTCTTAAATCAGCAGATTTTGTATAGAACTAAATTATTAAAGCTGAATTTATGTTATTATGTACACACAACACGCACATTTGTGGTTCTGAGATGATTTAATTCACTGTTCACATGACTAAACAGTTACACACCACCACCCCCACCCTCTGAAACAGGCAAACAAATGGAGACGAGATGGAAAAAATATTGATTGTTAATATTGGCGTGGTTTTATTTATCAAACCGATACTGATATTGATGCTGATATATTGTCTATCCTTAATTAAAACTCTGTTAAGCTAGTCCTAAACAAGCTAGTTTGTAGCCTTCTATCACTTTTATTGTTGGTTTCACAGTTAATTGGTAATAGCTAGCTCCGCTGTTGGCTGCACTAACAGACACTGTCTTATTAACAAATAACTCTGATGGGGACAGAAGACAGGTTGGACAGCAGCTGTCAATCACACGCACTAGCGAACCTCAAAGTATATTTGGGATTTGCATTGAACTCTTTTTACAGAGACTGACTGATGAGCCTGAGATGAAAAACGTGAAGCGCGTACATCATTTGTTAAGCACTGATAATCTTATTTTTCACTATGGTGAACGCACATTTCTATCCACCATCAATTTCTAGATAGTAATGAAATTGTTCCAGTGTGTGAAAATAACACTATTAATCAGCATGGTGAGCCTTTCTGTCGTCAGAAATCTTGTCCCCCTGGTGGGAGGTAGCACCTGTGACCAAGTCTGTTGGGGATCCAGATCTTTTAGGCTTATGAGGTGAAGCGCTGTTTATCACATAAGGGTACATCAGCGAGAAAGTAAGAGCCGGTTTGTAAGCTAGCTACTCTAACTTTGGTGATCACCGCTCTCCGTGAGCCACAGACACAGGCCGATCTAAAATAATTACAATAAGTTCATTTATTTCAGTCATTTAAGTTGAAACTAATATATCTAACACAAATGACCAAGCAGCAATCAAAATTCAGACATGTTGCTTTGGAAACTCACCACGACTAAGCACCAGTTCACTGTAGCATAACACATCTGCCATGTGGACCGTTTTACCTGCAGCGTCAAACTTGAAAGTCAAGTTGAAAGAGGTTTTCTGATCGTTATGTTCTTTGGGAGAGATCAGAAGCTCCAGCATCGGTACCGTCGATGAGAGCTGTATGTTGACTTGAGTTTATTTGTTTGCCCTCAAAACCAGAATTCTTTAAAACGGTTTCATCTCATCAGCTGAAACCTGTTCATCATGGCCACAGGTTTTTCTGACTTCATCTCCATGGAAACGATAGTCAGAAGTACAGTAGTTCTGGAGGATTTTGAGCCTCAACATCCTCAGAGTTAAAACAAACAAAATAAAAAAACAACATTAACAGGACACACACACTCTCTACAGGAGTGTTTTTTATTGTTCACACAGTGCACTTTCACAGTTACTCTGGACTAAATCATGTACAAAAACATCTTCTTAAAGACAATTTGATGTTCTTTGCTTGTGTGTGTGTGCGTTGCTTCAGGTGTGTGTCACCGTGTACCAGTGTCAGAGATCATCTCTGTCAGAGAGGAGCAGAGTGGCAGCAGACAGACAGATGAAAGCAGCTGGAAGAAAATCAAAGAAGGATCGGGACAGGACTGCAGGCAGGCCTTCACAGGTACAGTCCCTCCAGCGGGAGACAAAGCCCAGACACACTTAGGGTTAGAGAGACTGTTGAAGTGCATTTCATCCATGTGTGTTGCTGTGGTCCTAAACTGCTCTCATCTCCGTGGTTTAAGCGATGTTTTTGCTAGATGTGTACATTCCTTTAGTTGGATGTTCCTGTGTGACGTGACCCCTGGATGCACCTGAAGTACTTCCTGTTGCTGCTTTTAAGTTGGTTAGGGATGTAAGAAAACATCGATATGGCAATATATTGTGATATTTTTCCTCCAATATTGTATCGATATTCAGAAGCCATGTATCTAATTTTTGGAAGAATTTACATTCAAACATTTGTGTATTTTCTTTTCTTTTGGTGCATTTCAAACGCCGACCGCTATTTGGCAGCAGTGTGCAGTGGGTTTTGTTTCCACCACTGAAATGGAAATCCTTCTATTAGTGTTCAGATACCTCATGTTAAACATGTAAAGTGTCAGTTTGAACTGTTTGTTGACTTCTCCTATATTAAATTCTTTCTTTATATATTGTATCCAATCAAAATTGTTCCATCTTATATTTTAAACTTATTTTATCTTTATCCAGTGTTTCACCTGAGGGAGCCCTCTGCCCCCTGGGGCGGTGGTTGGCTGTGGCGTCCTGGGTGCTTTCCGGGTGTGCCTGAGTGGAGGTGGGGGTCTCTGCCCCCCCCCTCCCACCACTCCCCACCCCCGGGCGCCCTGTGGATCTGCTGTCGGGGCAAATGGCTCCCCTGATGGTGTTTCCTTAACTTGGCTTGTCTGGCTCATCTGAACTCAGCCCATTGTGTTCCATTTTTTATCTTATGTCCGTAAGCGTGTGTGTGTGTGTCCGATGATGAGTATAATGGGGGGTATTATTGTCATCTTGCTTTTATATTTATGAGGAGAAAGGTAATGTGGGTATGTGGGATCAATTCATTCGTAAAGCACTTTGAGTTGCATTTATTGTATGAATTGTGCTATATACATAAAGTTTGATTTGATTTGAAAAAATCGCTAATATTGTCTGACTGAATGTGTCGTGATACGAATCGTATCCTCAGAATTTCACCAATACACATCCCTAATGTTCGTTAATCTTTACGTAATTCAGTGAAAAGAAATGTGTAACGAGAATTTGCTGCAATAGTCAGGGTTTAACAATAACTCGCAGCTGTGAAGTTGGGGGGATTAGAGCGGTTCATGCAGCTAAAGCAGGTGAAGCCTGCTTAAATACCCTTTAAAACATAGGCCACGTGTGATTTCTGTGTTTATTCTCATGCAAAAAGGATCTTTTCTAAATTCACACAACAGATTAAAGCTAGACTCTAGTGGAAAGGACAAACATACTAAAGAGGAAGTTTCTTACTTTATTATTCGTGAAGACTAAATGGAGGCTCTGTTGTGTTTCAGTGTCCTATGTGGAGAGGTGTCAGCAGCACCGCTGGCGGTGTGCTGCGGTCACCTTCACGTGTCCTGATGGGGGGCTATGTCAGAGCTGGGTTGGTGCCATCGCAGAGCAGCTGGCAGCTATCAGTAGGTCTTTACACCAACACACACCGGCTGAGTGATACACACCTCTGTGACGTGGTTGTTGTTTAACAGCCAGCAGACCCAGACGCCTGCTGATCTACATTAACCCGTACGGCGGGAAGCGTCAGGGCGGGCGTGTCTATGAACAGAAGGTCGCTCCGCTGTTCGCTCAGGCTGCCATCTCCACACATGTCATCGGTAGGTCCTCCATCACGTTTTTCTGGTTCCTGTCATTACAGGTTCATAAACACCTCTTTCAACGGGAAGTTTTTACATATCGGGACATAATAAATGTTAAAGATCTCATTGTTACCGGGTTTCAGATAAAGTGAGTACAGCCTAACAAACAACAAGATGGATTCCATCATGTTGGCATTTCTCCAGAATCGGGAAATCTGTGGGATTGTCACCAGTGTGATCTTCTCTATGAAAGCAGGAGTTTAGTGAGTTTACCAACAGATCCTCCTTGAACCATCACCTTATCGTGGTGGAGGAGTTTGAGTGCCCTAATGATCCTAGGAGCTATGTTGTCTGGGGCACTTTGCGCCCCTGGTAGGGTCTCCCATGACAGATGGGTCTTAGGTGAAGGGTGAGACAAAGAACGGTTCAGAGGATCTTTCTTGGATGTAAAAACAAAGAGTCGGAGTACCTGGCCCGGAGGGTTACTGGGGTCCCACCCTGGAGCCAGGCCTGGGGTTGGGGCCCATGTGCGAGCACCTGGTGACCGGGCTTTCGCCCATGGGGCCAGGCCGGGCCCAGCCCGGACTGGATACATGGGCTCATCCACCTGTGGACCCACCACCCGCAGGAGGAACATGAAGGGTCCGGCGCAGTGTGGATCGGGTGGCAGACCAGGGCGGGAGCCTTGGCAGTCCGATCCCCGGACAAGGAAACTGGTTATTAGGACATGGAACGTCACCTCGCTGGCGGGGAAGGAGCAGGAGCTTGTAGCAGAGGTTGAGCAGTACCGGCTAGATATAGTCGGACCCACCTCGAAACATAGCATTGGCTCTGTAACCCAAGTCCTTGAGAGGGGTTGGAAACTCTTCTCTGGTGGAGTTGCTCCGGGTGAGAGGCGGAGGGCTGGGGTTGGCTTTTTGTTAGCCCCAAGACTTTGCCCGTGTGTTGGGGTTTACCCCGGGGGACAAGAGGGTAGCTTCCCTGCGCTTTCGGGTCGGGGAACAGGTCCTGCCTGTTGTTTATGCTTATGCGCCAAATATCAGTTCAGAGTACCAACCCTTTTTGGAGTACCTGGGACGGGTGCTAGATAGTGCTCCATCAGGGGACTCCATTGTCCTGCTGGGGGACTTCAGTACTCACGTGTGCAATGACAGCATGACCTGGAGGGGTGTGATTGGGAGGAACGGCCCACCTGATCTGAACTTGAGTGGTGTTTTGTTATTGGACTTCTGTGAAAGCCGCAGTTTGGCCATAACAAACACCATGTTCGAACATAAGGATGCCCATCGTTACACTTGGTACCAGGGCAGCCTAGGTCGCAGGTCGATGATAGACTTTGTATTCGTATCAACTGATCTGTGGCCAAATGTTTTGGACACCTGAGTGAAGAGAGGAGCGGAGCTGTCAACTGATCACCACCTGGTGGTGAGTTAGATTAGATGGCAGGGGAAGATGCCGCATAGACCTGGCAGACCCAAACGCATAGTGAGGGTCTGCTGGGAACGCCTGGCAGAAGAACCTGTCAAAATGGTCTTCAACTCCCACCTCCGGCAGAGCTTTGACCGCGTCCCGAGAGCAGTGGGGGACATCGACTCCGAGTAGGCCTTGTTCCACTCTTCGATTGTTGAGGCAGCTGTTGCTAGCTGTGGTTGCAAGGTGGCCGGTGCCAGTTGTGGTGGAACCCCTGTACCCGCTGGTGGACACTAGAGGTTCGGGGAGCCGTCAGGCTGAAGAAGGAGGCCTACAGGGCCTGGCTGGTCTGTGGGTCTCCGGAGGCAGCAGACCAGATAGTCAAGCGGGGTGCAGCAGTGGCAGTTGCCGAGGCAAAATCTTGGGCGTGGGAGGAGTTTGGTCAGGCCATCGAGAAAGACTATCAATCGGCGCCAATGAGGTTCTGGCAAACTGTCCGGCGCCTCAGGAGAGGGAGGCAGCAACTCGCTTACACTGTTTACAGTGGGGATGGGGAGCTGCTGACGTCAGCCTTCAGAGAGTACAGACGCTTTTTTCTCAGCTCCCTTATCGGCTTCCCCAAGGCTCTTGTCCTGTCTGCCTACAGAGCACTTCTCTGCATTTCTCCTGAAACCACTACTCTTTTTTGGAAATATGGACTTAATTAATTGGTCATTCAACGTGATTGACAAAATTTTCTCTACGATGAGAACGGAGAAGGGGGCTCCCACCTGTCCCGAGGGGACATTCGCATCGGGATATGCACTCGATTCTTGGGAGGTCTGGCGAATCGTGTGCCTCTCTCAGCTGTCCATCGAGGACGTGGAAGATTTGTGGATATTCGGCCTAATGATCACTGGATTTCTTCTGATTGGAGTGGGAGGATATCTGGTTTTCTGGAAATTTGGGAAGACGGGAGCGATTGGAGTGCGACCCGTACCCACGGAATGTGCCGCTCGTGCGGTGACCTCACAGACTGGGACGTTACTCGAGGTGAACCGTAAGCTGGACAATGTCCTTGCGGCGTTGCCTGTGTTAGTGCGCAAGATGGATTTGATCTCGGAGAGGGTCGCCGGACGATGCGGGGATGTGGAATGTAAAATTGGCTTCACTGGTGGACATGAATGACCACTTAGAGACTACAAGACGGAGGGGAAGATTATCTCTGTCTACCCTAAACAAAGTTATGTTTATCCTTATCTGACGCCATAGCAGCCTCTCAAGGCTGCCTCAACACACCCCCACAAAAGGAGGAATGCCGACAGATGCTGTGTCCCGACCTTCACCCTCTCCCTTCAGGCTGACATGTCTGCAGGGACCTCAAATGTGCTCTCTGTTCCTTATCTCTCCCTCCCACCTGTTGTTCTGCAGCTGGTCGATGCGCCGCAGTGGCAGCTCCCATTGGAGGCTTCAGGATCCCGCCCACCCCCACCTCCCCATTGGACTCTGATGTTGTACACGTGCTGTCTGTGCTTCCATGTCGGGTGTTTTTTTGCATTGGAGTGCTACACCCTGCTGGTGTAACCCTGTTAATGCCTTTTTTTCCCCTCCCTGAACTTTCCTCATGTAACACCCTTTTCATCTAACTATTAAGGTAGCGCGACTCATGTTGCGAATGACCGCAGTCACCAATTCTTGTTATGTGTCTTACCCACGTATGTCTGATCTTTGAATTGTGTGTGCTGAAACTGAATTTCATTTCTCTGTATGTCCCGCACATGTGGAGAATATGACAATAAATCTCTCTTGACTCTTGACTCTTGACTATAGTCGGGTGGTGGAAGGAATACTTTGAGGAGCTCCTCAATCCCACCTAGGCGCATTCCAAGGAGGAGCTAGAGCCGGGAGACCTGGGGATGGACTGTCCAATCTCTGGGGCAGAAGATGCTGAGGTAGTCAAACAACTACACAGCGGCAGAGCCCCGGGGGAGGATGAGATTCGACCTGGGTATCTCAAGGCTATGGATGTTGTAGGGCTGTCGTGGTTGACACATCTCTGCAACATTGCGTGGTCATCGGGGACAGTTCCTGTGGAGTGGCAGACTGGGGTGGTGGTCCCCATCTTTAATAAGGGTGACCTGAGGGTGTGTTCCAACTATAGGGGGATCACTCTCCTCAGCCTCCCTGGAAAGGTCTTCTTCAAGGTACTGGAGAGGAGGGTCCAATCGATAGTTGAATCTCAGATTGAGGAGGAGCAATGTGGTTTTCATCCTGACCGTGGAACTGTGGACCAGCTCTATACCCCTGCAAGGGTGATGGAGGGGACATGGGAGTTTGACCAACCAATCCACATGTGTTTTGTGGATTTAGAGAAGGCTTATGACTGTGTCCCCAGGGGCACCCTGTGGGGGACGTTCCAGGAGTATGGGGTGGGTGGACTTTTGTTAAGGGCCATTCAGTCCTTTTACCAAAGGAGCGTGAGTTTGGTCCGCATAGCCGGTAGTAATTCAGACCTGTTCCTGGTGAGGATTGGACTCCGCCAGGGCTGCCCTTTGTCACCGGTTCTGTTCATAACTTTTATGGACAGAATTTCTAGGCGCAGCCGCGGTGTGGAGTGTGTCAATTTTGGTGGCAGGATAATCTCGTCTCTGCTTTTTGTGGATGATGTGGTCCTCCTAGCTTCATCCAGCTCTGACCTTCAGCTCTTGCTGGGTAGGTTCACGGCCGAGTGTGAAGCGGCTGGAATGAGGATCAGCACCTCCAAATCTGAGACCATGGTTCTCGACCGGAAAATGGTGGCTTGCCAACTCCGGGTCGGTAGAGAGGTCCTACCTCAAGTGGAGGAGTTTAAGTATCTTGGGGTCTTGTTCACGAGTGAGGGTAGGAGGGATCGGGAGATCGACAGGCGGATTGGTTCAGCATCTGCAGTGATGCGGACACTGAGCAGATCTGTCGTGGTGAAGAGGGAGCTGAGCCAGAAAGCCAGGCTCTCGATTTACCGGACCATCTACGTCCCAACCCTCACCTATGGTCATGAGCTTTGGGTAATGACCGAAAGAATGAGATCGCGGATACAAGCGGCCGAAATGAGTTTCCTCCGTAGGGTGGCCGGGCTCAGCCTTAGAGATAGGGTGAGGAGCTCGGACATTCGGGAGGGACTCGGGGTAGAACCGCTGCTCCTCTGGATCGAAAGGAGTCAGTTGAGGTGTTTCGGGCATGTCCTGCCGGCAGGAGGCCCCCGGGTTGACCCAGGACACGTTGGAGAAGTTACATCTCCAATCTGGTCCGGGAACGCCTTGGAGTGCCACCGGAGGAGCTGGTGGAGGTGGCCGGGGAGAGGACGATCTGGAGCCCCCAGTTGGGATGCTGCCCCCGCGACCCAGACCGGATAAGCGGAGGAAGACGACAACGACGACCAACAGATCCCACAACATGCCGAAGCCCCTCATCCACGTGTGTGTGGAGTAACTGGATTCTGGTCCATTCTTCATAATGTTGCTTCAGGTCATTCAGGTTAGTGGAGATGCGTTCATTTTACCGCCGGGTTCCTGGACCATTATACAATCTCGATTCTTTAGTTTTTTTGTCATTCTGTTGTAGATATGCTCCTGTGTTTGGATCACGGTTCTGTTTTCTGACCCGGTCTGGTCCAAACTTCAAATCTGTCAGACTGTGACAGACTTTGGTGTACAGGAGTTCATAAGGCGTGTGCGGAGCAGTAACCACCAGCTGGGGTCAGCTGTTGGTGCTGACATGAAGCTTTGCATTATGAGTAATCATCTCTAATTTGGTCTCCCCTGTTCCAGAAGTCTAGGTCCACCATTTTGCTTCCTAATTGTCTCCTTGCTACCTTTAACCTGTAGAGTCTGGGTTTTGTGGCAGGGTCATCCTCTCTTGAGGAGATTAAGTGTTTTGTAGGCATGGGACAATAACACATTTTGCTGGATGATATATTGTCCAACAAATTATTGACGATAAACAATATTATCGTTGACATATCGAGATCAAAATAACCACTTATGTAATATTTATATATCATAATAGTGGAACAATTAAACCTTATTTAACATTAGAATGTCCAGAACCAGAACTTCTAAATAAATAAAACAAACACAAAATAAATAAATAAATACATAAATAAATAAAGGACCCTGTTAGAAAATATTGCACCAAAAACAACAAACTAGACCCCGTCTCTCTAAAACAACAAATACAATGGCCCATCCAGTGTCAACAACCAATGCTTCACTTCAAAAGTGGTAGTAAATAATAATAATAAAAGAGTTGTTCATTTCTTAACCTCGATATATGAAGGCTGGAAAAATTATTGAGTTCATTTTCATCTATCTTACAATTTATTGATTATCGCCCCAGCCCTAGTCAATTCTGAACTCAGGATTGTTATGAAATGACCTTTGACCTTTCCCAAATATCTATGCAGCAACGTCTGGCCATCGCGGAGGTCTTTCCTTCTTGGGGTTGTGTTAACACACGCCTGTCTGCTCCTGCTTTGGGAGGAGCAGCCGTTGATGATGGAGGAGTTCAGTAATCCCTCTGATGTGTTTGTAACATTTAGTTTTGGTTTAGTGACGGTTGAACCAGATCATTTTTATGTCCCGGTGTGTAAAACCCTACCATTGAATAAGGGTGGACTTTCTTTTGGACTCTACTGAACATTTCCACATGTTGCCATAGTAACTGAGCATGCCAATCATGCGAGGGATCACCTGAGGACGGACGCAGAGCTGAAGAAGTATGACGGGTGAGTGCAGCTCCTTCTTAATGAGCTTGGATTGGCTGTTGAAGATTTGACCTTTGACCTTTGCACTTTGCGTCCCTGACTCAGAGTGGTGTGTGTGGGCGGGGACGGCATGTTCAGTGAGATCGTCCACGGTTTGATTTGGAGGACGCAGATGGACAGCAGCTTAGATCCAAACTCTCCGGATGAGACTCTGACTTCCTGCTCGCTTCGCATCGGAATCATTCCTGCAGGTCAGAAACTCGGACCTCTCTCAGAGAAGATGAAGCGCTCTGATTTTATTTGTTGTTCATTTACATCAGATGTGTTCATCAGCTGTTTTTGTGACAGGGATGGTTTAGATGCAGTGAGAGCAGCGCAACAAGGTGCCTCAGGGCTGATTAGTGAAGCTAGTGGATATCTAGTGTCAGGTGTGTCACCAGGGGAATGTTCGGTTTGGTTTTAGGAGTCAGAAGGAAGTTTCTGCTGAGTCAGCATGCCCTCTGTCTTCTGGTATGTTGGTGTGATTCCTGGTGTCAGAATGGGTCCATTGTTCTGACTTTCAGCTCAACGTTGGATGAGATGAAGTCAGGGAGGATGGGCTCCTCTGATGTACAGCTGAAGCATGAACACAGCAACCAAAATACAGAATGGGGTTTGTTAAACAGCCAATCAGGAAGCAGCTGTCTCTGTCCTAAATGTAACTCCAAGCTCTGTCATTTCACACACACACACATACACACACACACACACACACACACGCACGCACGCACGCACACACACACACACACACACGCACACACACACACACACACACACACACACACACTAACTTGCTGTTTCTTTGTTTCAGGTTCCACCGACTGTATCTGCTTTGCTACTGTGGGAACCAATGACCCCGTGACCTCTGCACTGCACATCATCGTGGGTCAGTCCCCCGTTCTCCAGACACAACATTTGTAGCACCATCTCCAGCTGCTGTCCATGCAGCCTGCAGCGCTGCGTGTGTCAAGCACGCCGATAGATTTGATTTTGCCACCATTTAGCTCAATTTATTAACCACTGACAGATGATAACAGTGGTGGTCAAGGCTGGGGGTGGGGCTGGGGGCGGGGCTTTGCGTGTCTATAGCAGCTTTATTGTTTTTCCCAAAATAATTCTAAATGCAAAAATATATCAGAGTGATTTGATTGGTTCACAGTGTAGCTGCTGTGTTTGTAAAAAAAGTCACTTTTGTGTGTGTGTGTGTGTGTGTGTGGGTGTGTGTGCGTGCGTGGGTGTGTGTCTGCGTGTGTGGGTGTGTGTGTGGGTGTGCGTGCGTGTGTGTGGGTGTGTGTGCGCGTGTGTGTGTGCGTGCGTGGGTGTGTGTGCGTGCGTGCGTGGGCGTGTGTGTGCGTGCGTGTGTGTGTGTGCGTGCGTGGGTGTGTGTGCGCATGTGTGCGTGCGTGTGTGTGTGTCACCCCCCGCAGCAGCTCGTCCACGGCTGCAGGTTCCGGATACAAGGGGAAAAACAAGCGACTCATGGTCCAAAGAACAGGCAGGGGAACCACTAAACACTAAACCAGTCATTTATTTGCAGGAGCAAAAACATCGCTGAAAGTTCAGGTCTTTAGAGACTGAAGAAGTAAAAACATAAAAGCAGTCCCAAAAACAGTCTAAAACGTCCTGTGCAGCACCATGGGAGGGACGGTGTCCAGTACAAGGAGCCACCTCTTGGCTCCAGCTGGCCCGTGTTGACCTACGTAGCTGGGACCCAGTCTGCCCCACCTTGTCCTTTGGCTGTCAGGCACAAAGTCGACCTCCTGCAGCAACCTGTCTGTGCTGCCGCCATGGCTCCGGCGTCATCCTCTCGCCCGCTGGCTGCTGCGCACACCGCCAGTCTCTGCAGCCCCCTGGCACAGCTCCGCTCCTTGGACATGTCACACCCTCCTCGGCCCAAGGCCCAACAAGATGCAGAGGCACCAGCACCAACATTGCACCACTCACATGGGAGGAGAGGGCAACTCACAATCCTCCACACTTGGTCGCTTGTCCACATCCCAGGACGGTGCTCCAGGTGCCGTTCTGCATTGCTGGGTGGTTGGGCGTTCATGTCCTTGCCAGAGACGCCACCATCCAGGGCATGTCTCTGGTGTCTGCTCCTCTCCTGGACTCTTTCCTCGGTTCCGTTTATACCTTGTTTAGAGTCCATTGCACCTGTGGGCATTCCACATCTGTTCCCATTTGTTCCAATTAGTGTCTCTGGGAGGTACCATAAAGGGAAAAACCATTCCAAACACAAAATAAGCATGTCAACAATAAAACACAAATCATGCAACTTAAACTGAATCCAAACTTTTCCACTTTGTGACATGTGCATGTGTGTCACTCCCTCTCTCTTCAGGAGACTCTCAGCCTATGGACGTGTGTTCGATCCACCACAACAACACGTTCCTGCGATACTCCGTCTCCCTGCTGGGATACGGTTTCTATGGCGACGTGCTAACTGACAGTGAGAGGAAGAGATGGATGGGACCAGTGAGATATGACTTTTCAGGTAGAATTTCAGCATTTTTTTAGATGACTGAACAGTGCTTCCTTCTGTGATTTAAATGTTTGTTGTTTGTCCTTCAGGTCTGAAGATGTTCCTGACTCATCACTACTATGAAGGAACCGTGTCCTACCTGCCGGCCAGAGGCGTCGTTGGAACGCCACGAGACGCTGCCAGATGTCGATCTGGGTGAGGGGGCTGAAGGAGTTTAGAACAAATAGAAGAAACATGAGAACTGAGCTAATTCTAATAAACACACCACGGTAAAGCAAAGTGCTGCACAATAATAAAATGTAAACAAATGAGACGGTAGGAGCAGATAGAAAAGCACAACACAGGTAAACATAAACAAAACACAATTTCAAACAGCATCAAAAAGAATAAACAAACTCTACCGTGTGTCAGAAGTCACGACGAATAGGTGTGTTTGTAATATTTAGAGTTGGGAGCCGCTACTGAAAACCCCGTCTCCGGTCTTTGGGACCACCAAGAGCCGATGGCCAGGTGATGGAAGGGCTCGCTGAAGGATGGGAGAACAGGACCCATTAGGCATTCTTGGACCAACAGAAGGATTTTAAAATCTATCCTGAGGCACACGAGGAGCCAATGGCATAGTGGATGTGCTCGTGTCCGTGTTCCAGGGAAACGTCTGCAGCGCTGTGGACTCATGGCAACATAACATCTGATTCCAGTTTGGAGAAAACAAGTCTGTCCGTGTTGCTTAGATGGAACGTTCCCTATCTGCCGTAGCTGAAGAAGATTTTTCAGAACAGAGCTGATCTTTTCATTAGATTACCATTTATATCCTCAGGAGGCAGAGCGGGTTGTCCGGTAATCGGAAGGTTCGATCCCGGCTCCGACCAGAGAATGCTGCTGTTGTGTCCTTGGGCAAGACACTTACCCACCTTGCCTGCTGGTGGTGGTTGGAGGGACCGGTGGCGCCGGTGCTCGACAGCCTCGCCTCTGTCAGTGCGCCCCAGGGCAGCTGTGGCTACATCGTAGCTCATCGTCACCAGCGTATGAATGGTTGATTGTGTTGTAAAGCGCCTTTGGGGGCAGTAGAACCCTAAGAAGGTGCTATACAAATACAGAGCGTGTACCATTTGATATTCTGAAGCATAATTATCCTCGTGTTGGTGACCGATTCTTCTTCAGAGGTCTGAGGGGTGTGTGAGGTGCTGTTAGAGCTGAATACAACACATCACCTCTGATTTGTTTCCATTAAACTCAGAGGATTAAGAGTAGTTCAGGACTTGATGTCAGAGGCTCTTCAGTAATGCCTGGATGGATGTGTTAAAGCCCGTTATCTGAAGGTGTCGTTTCCTACAAATACTGAATGTTGTGGATTTGTAAAGCTGTTGCTGTGTTTCTGTGTCTACAGCTGTGTGGTTTGTCAGCATAACGGACCGAAACCTTCAGAAAGAGCTGAGAAGTACGAGACGGATGACTGTGGTGAGTCCAACAACCATCTAGAGCTCTGCTCACAACACACACCATAGTGGATCTTGGCTAAGGCTGCCAGCCACGCCAGACGAGTCGTCCTCAGTCGTGTCACCACTCAGTACAGCTCAGGGTTGGTTTGGGAGCAGGAGTATACAGAAGTAGATCTGAAGTGGACGAGGTCCACATTTTAAAACGTGTGATCGTCCTCATGTCTGGTTAGTCCTAACGCTTTGTTGTTTGATGAGCTCGGAAGTTTCCGGTGCCACTTTGCAAACTTGCTCTGGTTGATGGACCACTAACAGCTGAGGTCACACCTGCTTTTCAGGAAATGACGGTGATTGGAGGACGATCCGAGGAAAGTTCTTGGCCATCAACGCTGCCAGCATGAGTTGTGCTTGTCCCCGCAGCCCTAAGGGCCTCTCACCTGCTGCTCATCTGGCTGATGGGACCACTGACCTCATCCTGGTCAGAAAGTGCTCCCGCTTTGACTTCCTCAGACACCTCCTCCGACACACCAACAAAGAAGACCAGGTAGGTCGAGACAGAAAACCTAGTCACTGATTTGCTGCCCCTGAGTCATCGAGCAACAACAGCCTTCTCGTCCTCCTCAACCAGTTTGACCTGAACTTTGTTGAGGTCCACCGCGTGGTGCGTTTCCGCTTCATGCCTCGTCACTGCCAGAGCGACTCGGACCTGGAGCTGGACCTGCTGGAAAATGGCAAAAGGCAGATCTTCGGCCAGATCTGCAGAGACCACCCAGCGTGTGGCTGTGCACCCGCCTACAGCAGCTGGAACTGCGACGGCGAGATCCTAACCCACACAGCAATTGATGTCCGGTGAGACAGCCCTCCAGAACTTTGACACTTCTAATGTTTAAACTCATACGTCTCTGAAACAAACCCTGGCATCTCTTTTTCCCAGAGTGCACTGCCGGCTGATCAAGCTGTTTGCACGTGGGATCGAAGAGCCACAAGTGTTTGAAGATCTCACCAACCCCTGTGCAATTTAACTCCATCGAGCTGTCGCTGAGGTCATGTGACGCCCACCCCTACAGAGGGAAACCAAAGTTTGTTTTCTAGGTTTTAAAACAAAAACAAAGCGCCTCTAGGTTCTTCAGCACCTCTGGAGCAGACACCAGGGCCTCGTGTGCTCAGACAGGAAGGATTGCACCAGACGGATTCATGAGGTTATATCAAAGGCAGCAAAACAAAGACAAGTCACCAGGATTTCGCACGGTCCAGTTCAGAAACACATATCAGTGATTACATGAAAGCTTTCTCAGATGTTCAGAATATTCTCAGCGTCACGTCCCACCCTGTTCATACATGGGATCAAATTTATGACGAGTCATATTCTCCCTCCAGCGGCTCTTAGAAATGTTTTTATGACCCACTAGAGCTCTGGATCTCTGACGTGGGGAATCCCTCACACCGCAGTCCGGGGCACTGACCCTGGTACATGAATCAGCGTATCTGCAGGTCCTTAAAAAGTCTTAAATTTGCTTTTCCAAATTTAAGGTCTTAAAAATCCTTAAAAAGGACAAATAATCCTTAAATACAGTTTCCAAAGGTCTTAAATGACCAAAGGCCCAATAAACAAGATTCCTTTATTTGTATAAAATTTTCGTGAATTTCTAGTTAGTGTTCAGCATTTTTTGTGTGTGATGTAAGCGGAACCGTACACATTCAGTTGGTTGTGGAAGGGGGCTATTTTTAGATGAGCACATCAGCTGGTTAAGCTAGTGGGCGCTTGTGCCATGGGGAAGTTTAATGGTAACTGGATGGCTAATCCCACGTTTGCGACGTGGTTAGCACCAGTTCCAGCCAGTAGCTGGAAATTATAGCTTAAATTTGGTCAAAGTGGCCTTAAAGAAGGTCTTAAAAAGTCTTAAATCTGGCTCCCTTAAACCTGCAGATACCCTGAGGAAGCACATCCTGCAGGTGTGGTTGTGTTCGGACCCGGGCTTGACGTCTGCCAAGAGCAGGAAGCAGTAGTTAGCCACCGGGTGCGTTTCCACTAGCCGCACCACGCTTCCAGAACGTCTCAAGCTCAGCAGTTCTGATCGGGCCAGACAAGAAGTCAAACACAGTATCAGTGTAAAAAAATCCATAAACTTTCAAAATAAAAGACGCGTGCTGTTTTACAGTTGTTTTACTAGTAAAAAAAAAAAAAAGTCATTTCCTGTGAAACCTCCGTAGTCGAGCTAACAGAACATGAGATAAACCACAGATGGTTCTGGATGCTTGCTGTGGCGTGAACGGGTGAAATGGCGTGATCCTACGGGAGCGACCACGTGGAATGCCTTCGCCGCTGTTTGGTGTCTGAAACGCTCCTGGTGGGGCGTTACATGCTGCTTACGTCGCGATGGTGCCTACTGCATTAGCTGTTGCTATCCTTGTTCTTATAGAGACAAGGTCTCATCGTATTGAAAACCCTTTACTTGTTTAAAGTCCTGTTTTTCCCGCATTACGTGCTGCAGGCTCCGCCTTCCTACGGGATCCCAGAAGGTAAACCACCTAGGGAGCAGGACTCTGGTGCTTTCACCTAAAACTCTGCGAGGCTCGTTGTTGTTTTGCTGCAGATTTTTCCAATTTTGTGTAAAAAACGTGTGCTTACAATCTTTCCGTGAGGGGAACCAGGTGGGATAGCCGTAGGAGGATTCATGCATTCACAAAGCCTCTGCTGAGTAAATCTGGTGGGTTCTGCTGCTTTCGTTCAGATGGTTATGCCAACATTTGATTTGTGTATTTTATACACACATAACAGTCACTGCTGGTGGACCAGCCCAGATCCGTGCCCAGTAGCTCAGCAGGATTGTGATGGCTTTTATAAACTTTGGATGTAAAACCAGAGAAATGAGGTAAACATTAGGAACCTGAGTGTTGTTGTAGCAGCCGGTTGAATAGGCCCTGATAGGGACCCCCATCAGAGACAGGTCTGGGTTCCAGCCTCCCCAGTGAATTTCAATTCAATTCAATTTTATTTATATAGCGCCAAATCACGACAAGAGTCGTCTCAAGGCACTTCACATAATAAACATTCCAATTCAGGTCAGTTCATTAAGCCAATCAGAAATAATGTTTCCTATATAAGGAACCCAGCAAATTGAATCAAGTCACTGACTAGTGTCAGTGACTTTACAGCAATCCTCATACTAAGCAAGCATGCAGCGACAGTGGAGAGGAAAACTCCCTTTTAACAGGAAGAAACCTCCAGAGAATCCTGGCTCAGTATAAGCAGCCATCCTCCACGACTCACTGGGTATCGAGAAGACAGAGCAGACACACACACACACACACACACACACACACACACACACACACACACACACACACACACACACACACACACACACACACACACACACACACACACACACACACAGTGCAACACTTAAAACAGGAAACAGGAAACGCCTTACCGCCAGGTGCAGCAGTTGGACTCAGGATTGCGCGGTGTTGACTCAAACATCTCAGTCTAAAGTTTCTGATGTCCAGACCTTCTGGGTTCAGCTTTAGTTTGATTGTATCTGCGATAGAAAGCACCTGCTGCATGTTTGAGGGTTTGCAGGCACCAGCCCGCCATTTTCAGGGTCACAAATCAGTCTCATAGAGAAAAACAATCCAGACCTTGGTCTTCGGACTGTGGCATATGTTGCTGTGTAGCGTTTTCTCCTGTCCTCACTGCTCCGTTACCTCAGGAAGGCTGCATTCAGACTTTTGGCTTCAAAGTTGTATTTATGACATGATTTCATCCAGATATTCTAATAGGTCAAAGGACTGCTTGTTATTCCAGCTGATTGGGATTAAAATGGGATTTTAATTGCCCCTCGGGGATAAATCAAGTTTTTCTGATTAAAAGCCAGGTAGCACATGAATCCATGAGCTTGTGCTCCACATGCAGATGACCAGTTCAAACACTTCCTGTGTAAACGACTGCTCAGTGGTCGGTGTGGTGGGATGTTTTAAACACGTCTGGTGGGTTGATTCATGAAACTTTACTTGCTTTATTATTTTCGCCTCCAACTTCTTCATAGAAACATTTAGATCAAAAGCCTGCAAAGAGAATAATTCCTGTTTTAATCTGGCTTCTGTCCAGATTAGCCACACTCAGCTGCGGCGGGTCTGATGTAAGAGTAGACAAAACGATGACTGACTTCTTTTCTCCCAGTGAGTGATTCAGGTTCTGTTCTGGACCTCCTGGGCCTCCAGGAGATGTTCTAAACCGGAGTCGTGTGGAACCAGAAAATGTTTGCAACCTTAACCAAATTGTAAGTGTCAGAAATGTTTAAAGCAACATTAAATACGTCTTCTGCTTCTCCCTCCTGCTGGTTAAAGGTGGAGCTACAGCTGTTGTAAACAGCCCGCTTCTGACCCGGATGTAGTTTCTGACCAGCAGCGGGCCACAGACTGAAGTTACTCAGGTTTCTGGCTCAAGAACCACTGAAACCAGTTTGAAAGCAACAGCCTTAGTTGTTAAAACTCTCTAGTGTTGTTGGACTTGGCTGCAGACTTCCCTCTGAAGACGTCTCCACGCTCTGCTGCTCTGGTCAGGAGAGCGCTTTGCGACGGGCGTGTGTTAAAGCCCAGTGTTGATGTTCATTGAAGCAACTTTATTTAGATGTTCTGGGGAACGACCCACACTCTTAGCACTATTGTAGCTTTCTCCGAGCAGCTTGCTGCTCTCTGAATGTAGCAGCGTTACAGGAATGCTGTTCACTAACATTAACGTGTTGATGGTTTCTACCTCTGAATGGTTGAAATGGGATTTTAACAGATGAGAGGAAGAGCACCAGCACTGGACCATCGGCTCTTTCCTTCCTGCTGACAGTGAGCCAGACTCAAACAGGTGAAGGAAGGAACCAGTAGCAGGTCACAGTGTTCCAGAGCACTGACCAATCAGCTTTCAGCTTTTTAATGATCCCAGTCTGACCAAACACCTGCCGGGGTTTACTGATGTAGCTCTACTAGTGTCTTTGATGTTTGTGACTGAAGTCGGTGTTTGGGTGCAATCCATGTAAGGATGAAAGATCCACATCAGCTTGCTGTATAACCCAAAATGATGCGTGTCACACCCAGGACAGCTGAAGGTGATGTTTTATTAAGTCAGCTCTTATAAATGAACATTTGAGGTGCTCCCAGGTCAGCCTTTAGCTAAACGCCAGCATCACAGTGGTTTGATGGAGTCCTGTGTGCTAAATGCCTCTGAAGCAGTTAGGAGATTATATCAGGTGGACTTTAACAACTGTAGCAGGAGCTCCTCAGCTGTCAGGTTGAAACTTGAGTCTGAAACGCCCTCTAGTGGCTAGCTGCAGTACATGTTTTAGGCTCCACCCCCTCCATGTTAACAAATGAGATGAAAAAATCAGGATCCTCCTCAGATGATTTGCTGATTCTCATATTTAGTTTCTTGTTGCTTCATGTTCAGCTGTGAGCTTCTCCACTATGCTTACCTGATGATGTTTTCTGGCGTCATCATAAACTCTCTAGATGAGACTTTTCAGAGGAAATTTGGTTAGAGGAAAAGCTTTTATGGATTCGAGCATCACCAGAAAAGAAACGTGATGAACTCATTAAAGGACATGACGGTCGGCCCTGTCCTGTTAGGGTCTTCAGACCATTTGAACATTATTGCCGCCTGGACTAGAAACTCTGAATTGAATAATTGCAAACAAAACCATGCTCAGTAGCTAAACGTAGAATGAAAGGAAACTGGTGCTGTGTTAAACATGCGTGCATGCTTTGATTATCTCTTCATTTTTCTGATCAACCGTTTTGTTTGGGTGAACCGTAGACCTCCATGTTTGATGTGTTAATGCATTAAAACCTTTGTTAACCTGTTTGACTCATAAATCACGTGACCTCTTTATCCACCCCTTCGCCCCACAATAGCAGTTGCATTATCAGATAATAAACTATTTTCAACACTTCTCTGCTTCTATGGTGGTTTTTCAGCAGCTCTTTGGTGGATTTTGAGTATTACTGAGTAACAAAATGAAGTTAAAGTAAGCGTGTGTTGTCATCAGTTAGTGGAGGATTGACTGAACGCCGTTCTATTTGTTTAGTCAATGGTTTTGCTAGATTAACTGATACGTTGTTTGTATTTCTGAGTACCAACATCCGACCTTTCTGAGGCTCAACGGGGTTTTCACACCGTTGCCAAATTTCAGCACTTAGTTTTCTACGTGTCCAAGCACCGTAATCTGGTGAGGGTTTATGCAAACAAACAGTGCATATTTACTGAAAATCACTCACTCACGTTCTCACGTTTAGTTTCAGTACTTTATTAAATACCAGGCATTTTGAAAATAACATTTAAATCACCCTGCATGACAACCCTTGAGATTGGATTTCAAAGTGAGGGAATCCTGCCACCTGGTGGACAGATGCCACCACTGCACACTTCTCTGTGATGAGGAACCATCAGGATTAAAGTTTGTTGTTCGTTCACTAACAAGCATCTGTTCAAACAAGAGTCACATTTTCAAGCCCATCCATTCATCCATTTTCATCCATCCATTTTCATCCGCTTATCCGGAGTCAGGTCGCAGGAGCAGTAGCCTAAGGCGAGAGGCCCAAACTTCCCTCTCCCCAGCCACTTGGGCCAGCTCCTCCGGGGAAATCCCAAGGCGTTCCCTGGCCAGGTGAGAGACATATGGGCCATTCCCATCTGTACCGGGTCGGCCCGGGCCGGGTAGCGTAGGTTGTTTACATATCTGGGTGGCCTGGAATTTTCCCGGGCCAACCAAGGCTCATTCCCGGCCCTCTTCCCGAGGGGTACTGCTTCAGGCCGACCAGGGCCAACACGCCCACTGCTGACAGCAAATTCACACCTTCCATTAGAGCAAGCCTCTGATTGGTGGGTAGAATCAGCCCATTCACACCTTCCATTAGAGCAAGCCTCTGATTGGTGGGTAGAATCAGCCCACATGGGCTTAAGGCAAGGATGTGTGGAATCAACCGGGCCAGGCTGGGGCCGACTGGGGCTACCCGGCCCGGGCCGACCCGGTACAGGTGGGAATGGGGCTATAGTCCCTCCAGCGTGTCCTGGGTCTACCTTTAGGGCTCCTCCCGGTTGGACATGCCCAGAAAGCCTCACCGGGGAGGCGTCCAGGAGATATCCTGACCAGATGCCAGAGCCAACTCAACTGGCTCCTCTCGAGAGGAGCAGCAGGTCTACTCCGAGCCCCTCCCGGATGACCGAGCTTCTCACCCTGTCTCTAAGGGAGAGCCCAGACACTCTTCGGAGAAAACTCATTTTGGCCGCTTGTATCCGTGATCTCGTTCTTTCCGTCACCACCCAAAGCTCATGACCATAGATGAGGGTAGGAACGTAGATCGACTGGTAAATCAAGAGCTTCACCTTCTGACTCAGCTCCCTCTTCATCCCGACAGACCGGTACAACGCCTGCATCACTGCAGATGCAGCACCAATCTGCCTATCAATCTCACGCTCCAGTTTTCCCTCACTCGCGAACAAGACCCCGAGATACTTGAACTCCTCCACTTGGGGCAGGACCTCATCCCTGACCCGGAGAAGGCATTCTACCCTTTTCTGAATCAAGGCCATGGTCTCAGATTTAGAGGAGCTGATTCTCATCCCAGCTGCTTCACACTTGGCTGCGAACCGCTCCAGCGAAAGCCGAAGATCATGTTCTGATGAAGCCAACAGGACCACATCATCTGCAAAAAGCAGAGACCTGATCCTCAGGCCACCAAAATGGATGCCCTCCACACCTTGGCTGCATCTAGAAATCCTGTCCATAAAGGTTATGAACAGAATCGGTGACAAAGGGCAGCCTTGGCGGAGTCCAACTCCCACTGGGAACGAGCCCCGACTTACTGCCGGCAATGCGGACCAAGCTCTGACACCGGTCATACAGGGACCTAACAGCCCGTATCAGAGGGCCTGGTACCCCATACTCCCGGAGTACCCCCCACAGGGTCCCCCGAGGGACACGGTCAAATGCCTTCTCCAAATCCACAAAACACATGTAGACTGGTTGGGCAAACTCCCACACACCCTCCGGGATCCCCCTAAGGGTATAGAGCTGGTCCAGTGTTCCACGGCCAGGACGTAAACCTCTTAATAAATTAGGATCAGCATCGGTCTGCTTTCACAGATGTCATGTAGTCAACATAATACCTGTGGCCTCCATCAACATGAAGGGCTGTGTTTGTCTCACAAAGGTTAACACAACATTGTTCCAGACATATAGAACAAAAGTTTTCCCCCTGCAATACTGACTATTGGCTAAATATCCATTGCATGTGCTGGTCATAAAATAGAACATCATGACAAAGTAGGTTTATTTCAGTAATCCCATTTGTTACGTCCTGGCTATGCTAGGAAGGTAAGGAGGTAACATAAACCTGTGACCAGATGGAATGGAAGGACTACATGCAGTCAATAAAGAGAAGCAGCAGATAAATAAACTTACAATATACAGAATGGCACAAATAAATACTAACAGAGAAAAAACTTACTAAACAAACAGGGCCTTCACAATATTAACTTAAAACGCTCATAGCTGAGAATATACCAAACAAACAAAAACAGGCTCAGGAGGACTTCAAATGAAAGGGCAATAGCATTTACCACACCTAAATCCAACCAGAGGAGCTTTAACTTTCTACACAAACCACCTATGGGTCTAACCAAGCTTCTAAGGAACAATATCACACCAGTAATCCTCCACAGTAGTCTAACAGCACAAAGTCCCAACAAAGCTGACCAAGTGGGGAAAACAGCACACCATCAGCTGCTCCCCATCTGCAGGAAGACCAGGAAGTATCTTAAAAATCCTGCCATGTGAATTCATGGATTTTTTTTTCACATTCTGTCTCTCACAGTTGAAGTGTACCTGAAAATTACTGACCTCTGTCATCATTTTAAGTGGGAGAACTTGCACAATCGGTGGCTGACTAAATACTTTTTTGCCCCACTGTACATTTTTTTGCTGAGCTCAAGTACGGTTTTAGTAAGTATTCTACGCAATGTTTGATAAATGAGACCCCTGCACCCTTTTCTCTTACACTTTCTGTTTTATTTTCTTTTATTTTCAGATCTAAAAGGTTCATTACCGAAATACTGCCGTCATGTCCTAAAACTGAGCTCCATTTCATTCTAAATAATTAAATGGTTAGATTTGTGGATTTAATGTGTTGAGCATCGAATGTTATCCTCGTTAAAATAAAACCTTTGTTAGACGAAGGGGGGCTGATGTGATGACATCACAGCGAGGCCACAGAGGCACCAGCGTTCCTGACAGCGTTCACATGGGAGCTCCTATCACAGATGCATCATCTCACCCACATCACATCGGGCTACAACAGAAATGATCACAATTCTTTCCTTTGACTTCTGTAATGAAACCTAAAAACCTAAAATGAAGAGGCAAAGTCATCTTGTGGGTTTTCTGAGTGATACTTCTGTCTAGCCTAATGAATGATCTACATTTTAAACACGCCTTCTAAAAAAGGAATAAAAACATCAGAATTTGGGTCAAAAACACGTTAGAGATTAAAGCCAGACTTCCAGCATATTTCCCCCAGTGCTGGACCAGTCTGAAGGAGTGGATGAACACCGCCACCTAAAGAACTGCCTCTAGAAGAAGAAAATATCATTTCTATAGCCCCTCTCAAGATAAAAATCACGAGGCGCTTCACAAAAACTAAACATGTAAAAATAAAAAAAGAATTTAGAAAATGGTTAAAATTATATTTTAAATGAGCAAAAAAAGTAAAATAGACAATTGTGATTAAAAAATGTTAAGAAAGAGAGAGAGTGAATAGGAAAGAGGGAAATCAGTGGATCCTGAGGAAGGTGGAATAGGTGGGGAGAGCAGAATAAAGAGAGAGTGGTGAAGAAGGTCATACAAAAGCCAGCTTGAACAAGTGAGTCTTCAGCTGCTTTTTAAAGGAGACCACTGAGTCCACTGATCTCAGGCTCAGGGGGAGAGAGTTCCAGAGTCTGGGGGCCACAGCAGCAAATGATCTGTCACCTTTGACCTTTAGTCTGGTGCTGCACAACCAGTAGGCTTTGATCACTGGACCTCAGGGACCTGCTGGGGGTGTAGGGACTAAGAAGATCACCAATGTAGGATGGTGCTTGTCCATGTAAGCCCTATAGACCAGAACCAGGATCTTGAAATGAACCCTGAAGTTGACTGGCAGCCAGTGAAGCTGGAGGAGAAGAGGGGTGATGTGGGTGTGTTTGGAGGACTTGGTCAGAATCTGAGCACAGGCATTCTGAACCACCTGTAGACGGTTCAGGGAGGTTCTGCTCAGACATGTGAAAAGAGAGTTACAGTAGTCTAAGCGTGAGGAGATGAAGGTGTGGAGAACAGTCTCAAGTTCAGAGCGGGACAGAATGGGACTCAGCTTAGCAATGTTCCTGAGATGGAAGAAGGAAGAGCGAACAGGAGAACTGACATGAGAATCCAGGGTGAGTGCTGGGTCAAAGGTCACGCCAAGATTCCTGACAGAAGGTTTGGTGTGAGAAGCAAGCTGACCAAGAGAGTCTCTGACTTTGGGAACCAGCTTGTCTGGGGCACAGATGAGGATCTCAGTCTTATCTTCATTCAGCTGTAGAAAGCTCCCAGCCATCCAGGTTTTGATAGAGTCTAAGCAGGTGTGTAACAGCTGCAGCTTAGACATCTCATGGGGCTTAAAGGAGATGTACAGTTGGATGTCATCTGCGTAAAGATGGTAGGAGATTCCTTTGAAGGAGCTCAGGATGTGCCGAAGAGGAAGCGGATAGAGGAGGAAGAGCAGAGGCCCCAGCACAGAACCTTGTGGGACACCATGGGTAAGAGAGGTGGTGGAGGACCTAAACTTGGAGACGGCCACAGAAAAGGAACGCTCAGAAAGATAAGAGGAGAACCACTCCAGAGCAGATCCTGATAGGCCTACCCAGTCTCTCAGCCTC